CCCCAAAACCCCAAAACCCCAAAACCCCAAAACCCCTCAATGACTTTAAAGATTATTACTTGAGGATTGAAAATTCATATTATAATTCAAGTAGGAAAAAACTAAATCTGCTTAGTAGCTTGAAAGTCAGTAATCCATATTTAAAACTTCAAATTTGCCTGTTTTGGCTGAGCCACTTATATTGCTTCTATATTAAGACTCTCTTTCAAGGAAAAGTTATCCCTTTAGTTCGTTTACATTTTTATTCTATAAGATCATTCAAAGAATTGTTATCTTACCGATTCAAAAACAAGCTGTTCTAAGACCTCGAATCGCTTAGAATTATTTTACAATTACGTTTTAATCTCATTGATAATTTATTTCTTTAAGCTCTTTTAGTTAATATCATTCTTCTATAGAATGAATTGTATATCTTCTCTCAACTACTCTAATTGCTTTTTAGCAGATACCAGCTCCTCATTCATATTATTATTCTGGTTGAATGAGTTATTAAAATGCCTCATTTATTGCCTTTAGGTTGCTGCTCCAGTTCCTGATATTGTTCCTTGTGATCTGTAAGTAAGAATTTAATGAGGTCCAGTGCTCGATTGAGCATCGTTTTGAGTTATATTTAACTGCGAATGCTTCTTTTATTATAGATCAAGGATTGTTTCAAGCGACTCAGAATAAAGATTCTCATTTCTCTGATTCTCCTCTGAGGATGAATTTACCTTTGGATTTTATTCTGCTGAACTAAATCCATCGTAGTTATAATCTTCACTTCTTTAATTTGAAGAAGTGTTTTCAAGTTGAACATTATATTGCTAAGAATGCTAGAAGGTGAATTTTCTTTCCAGATTTGAGAGGTTGATGTTCATCTTTTCTAATCTATCGTTTATGACTTCAATAGGCATTAGTTAATCTCCACTTGATTGCTTACTTGTATCATTTGATTGAGTAGGGTAGTTAACCACAGAATTTTATTGATATAACATCTATCTCAATCTGCCAACTTCTCTATCATACTCCCTCTTTGATTTCCTCTCAGATTCTACCAACATAATCTCTAGAGATTAGATCTTTTCTTTCATTTCCTTGATTTAATTCTCATATTACCTTTTCATTTTAGTATCAGCTTTTTGGCTCATAATCTGACCTGGATTTTATTGTCCATAACTATTGCTAACATTTGGATTGATGTTATTGTTTGAACTGTTAAAGTGGAAACTTTGCTTTACAACTCTATCACCAATAGATCTATATGAATTCTAAATATCTCTTTTTTGGTTTTCAAGTTCATTTCTTAGATTTTCTAGCTCTTTATCTTTCTGTTAAATCAACTACTCGTATCCTTCACTCTATTCTTTATGCTAGATGATTAACTGTCTCATTTATCTCGCTAGTTCCCTCTTTAGAGTTTTTGTTGAGGTCTCCTCAAGTTCTTTACTAGCTTGTTTCTCATAAAATAAAGCACTTTATAAGCTTTGGTTATCTTACTCCAGTTGAAATATTCTCTAGTTTTGTTCTTCGATCAAATTATTTAAATTTCTTATTTCTTTATCTTGCTATCTCGATTTATCTCTATATTTTTAGTATTTTGAATCCAACTTTGCCTTTTCGCTTGACTTTTGCTTTAACAACTACTTCTTTTCAAGATTGAATAGTTCTCTATCTTAATTAATCTGAATCTCGAAGTCTTTAATCTGTTTCTTAAGGTGATCAATTTCTTTCTTCTTATTCGATCTTTCTTTATTGAATTCAGTTATAATGGATTTCAACTCCTTCTCAAGGTTTTCAAATAAATCTATTTATCTGGTGTTAAATTTCTATGGTTAATGACCTTAATTAGCTTGAGCTTAAATGTACTATTATTACCTCATTGTATCAATAAATCTATCAATGGACTCTTAGTGCTTTCTTATTGGACTGAGACTAGAATTAACATTACCAAGATTATTTTAGCTGACCAAAGATCCATATATTTGCTAGTTCTATTCATACTGAGGAGGATAATTATCTCTGATTTCTTCAAGTTTCAAATGACTTTAGTATCGAATGATTGGTTACTAATTAGCTTAATATGTGGGAGGGTGCTGGATTTATCTCTAGGTGATTTGAGCATATTTCTATTAATTTCTATATGTTGTTGGTGAACTGTTTGTCAAAATAGTATTATTGCTATTTAATTAAGTATCTTGTTTGTTGTTCGGATAAATAAAATTTCTTTATGTGTAGTTTTCATCTAATTGCTTATTGAAATATTTTGAATCTTATCCTTCCTTTCTTTCATTTGTTGAAGCTCTCAACTTATCAATTGGAGCAGGTTAGACTAATTACGAATAATTCCTGTCACTTTAGTAGATTTAAGGGGATTATTCATTAGTAAAGTTATTGAACATTGGGGTTTCATCTCATGGCTATCTTAAATCATTAAGCCTATTATCTATAGTTTGCCTCTAGGTGTTTTAAGAGTTGTGTCTAATGGGATTTGATACACCTTGAGTTCTGAGACTTGCCATTGACGGATTGCTAAGAGTATTTTAATTAGTGTGAGCTGTAATTGGAGTATTTATAATTTGACTGACTTATTCATACTGCTTTTTATTTTTAAGGCTGACAGGCACTTTTTTCTCTGATGCAACTCTGCTTGACTCATTTGAAATTTTTTGCTCTTATGGTTTTAATTTTCTTGGTGAAAGCCTCTTAGGGTTTACGTTATCTGAAAATGAATTTTTATTGCTATTATTAGCCCTCTTAGCATTACTTTTATTACTTTTAATATATGCTGGAGGAATTTGATTCTGAATAAGCTCATAAGTTTTGCTTGATTAAGGCTGATAAAAATTGCTTTGATGAGTAGTTAATCTGGGGTTTGAATTCTACTCTTGAAATAATAGTTATTGCTAATATTTTTTATCTCCAAGAAATGTTTCATCTGACTAAATTGTCTTCCTGGGGTTAAATATTATAGACTAATTAGACTCATTCTAAGAATGAAACTGTTCCTTAGCATATGAATGTCTTATATTTGATTTATCTGGGTTGACTTGCTTCAAAGACTAGCTACTGCTTTAAATTTTAGGATTTTAGTTTGACCGATAAAGGTTTGATTAGTACTACTCTGATTGATATAATGGCCTAGTTTGATCTGATTCATACCTGTTTGTATTAATCTATGGCGATGGAAGTATTTTCTGTCTATAAGAAGTGGTTGGAGTCATGTTTTTAGCACTTTAGTGATTAGAGTTGAAATATTAATTCTATTATTGCTTTTATGATAATGGTTGTATAGAGTGATAATTTTCTGCCATTGCAAAAAGACAAATATATAAATTTAAATTATATTTGCTAACTGCTATTGAAAATTTTGCAATTTAGGATTGTGGGGTTTTGGGGTTTTGGGGTTTTGGGG